AAAGAAATAGGAAAAGTCTGTCCAGCCAAACTACACTCCACCAGAGAAGAGTAAATGCAAAGCCACAGCTATGTACCAACATTACACAGCTCTGAGACTGGCAACAACTAACTCGTTCTGGAAACATTGACGAAAAGCACATTTTTCTAGGAAGATACAAAGTCTTCCTAAAATTTCATTTCTATATTTGATTTTCCTTTCTCCTTGTTCCAAAACCGCAAAGCTTACTAAGGGATCTTCTCACTGAAAACTATAAACAATAATTATTTTTAATGCAATTAAATTATCCAGATAATTTGAATTATCCAGATATTCATACTATGTTTAAAAAGGTTGTTTTCCAGAACCATACATAGGACTTCAAGTGGACAACTGCATAGGCATTACTGTGGAAACTTTAAAGGGTGATGGGTAAAAAAGCTAGTGTACTAAAATCAAAACTGTAATCAGAGTAACAGTATATGCCAGCCAATTTACACTCACTAGGAAGAGAGAGACAAAAAGATTTTATGCAGAAAAGGGAACAATACATCAGAGAAAACCACTTATACATGTTATACACTGAATAGCAGTGCCACAAAATATATGAAACAGAAACTGACAGAACCGAAAGGATAAAAAAAAAAAAGTCAACAAATTAGAGATTTCAAACTCCTGTAAGAGTGACTGATGAAACATACTGGCAGAAAATCAGAACTCCAAGAAACAGGGCTACAGAAGTTGAAAGAGACAAGGATCTTACCCTAGAGAACCAACGTCCTGAATTCAGACTTCTAGCCTCCTAAACTATGAGAAAATAAATGTCTGTTCTTTAAAGTACTCACTTACGATATTTGTGTTATACTAGCAGTAGGAAACTAAGACAGAAAGAAGTACAACTGCCTTTATTCACAGACAGAATGAACAGGAATACAGAAAACCTTAAGAAATCTATAAAAAGTTATTCCAACTAATAAATGAGTTTAGCAAGGTTGCAGGATACAGGGTCAATATAAAAGCCAACTGTATTTCTACACATTAGCAACAAACAATTGGAAACTGACATATTTTTAAAACCTCCTGACAATGGCACCTAGAAACATTAAAAACTTAGTGATGACTGAAAACTAAAAAAATATTGTTAAGAAAAATTGAAGGAAATTTAAATAAATAGAGAGATATACCATGTTCACGAATTGGAATACTTAAGATCAAGATGGCAATTCATCACATACTGATCTATAATTTCGAAGCAATCCCAATCAAAATTCTAGCAAAGGAAACACCAAAAGACCTAGAATAGACAAACCCGTTGCCATCAAGTCAATTCTGACTCAGAATGACCCTATAGGACAGGGTGGAATTGCCCTATAGGGTTTCCAAGGCTGTAAATCTTTATGGAAGCAGATTGTCACATCTTCCTCCTGCACAGCAGCTGGTGAGTTTGAATTGCTGACCTTTTGGTTAGCAGCCCAGTGCTTCACCACTGTGCCAACAAGGCTCTCATATTGGTCATCAGAGAAATGCAAATTAAAACCACACTGAGATACTACAACACACCCTCAAGAATGACTAAAATCACAGACTGACCAATACCAAATGATGGCAAGAATACAGAGTCACCAGGACTCTCATACACTGCTGGGAAGAGTGCAAAATGGTCCAATTACTTTGGAGAATAGTTTGGCAGCTTCTTAGAAAGGTAACTACATACATGCCTTATAGCAACTGCACTCCTAGATATTCACCCAAGAGAAATGAAAGCATATTTCTCATACACAAATGATCATAACAGCTTTATTTTTAATAGCCAAAGAATTGGAAACAACTCAAATGTGCATTAACAGGTTAATGGATAAGCAAACTGTGGTACAGCCATGCAATGGAATAGTCCTCAGCAAAAAAAAGAAAAGAAACAACAACATGGGTGAATCACAAAACCATCATGTTAAGTGAAAGAAAGCAGACACAAAGAAGTGCTTACTGTATTATTTCTTTTATATGATATTCTAGAAAACACAAAAGTATAAGGACAGAAAGTACATCCTGGGGCTAGGGATGAGGGTTGGAATTGACTACCAAGGCTCAGGAGCAAAACCACTGGTGTAATGGAATTATTCAAAAACTTAATTGTGGTAGTTAACAACTTTATACCTAAAATTTATCCAATTGTACACTTAAAATGGGTAAATTTTATGGTACATGAATTATACCTCACAAAGCTATTTTAAAAAGTACCTAGCCTATTCTTTTTTCTTTTTCTTTGTGATTTAAATTCTTACAGGTGGTTTTCATAACTGCACTCAGAAATACATACGGTATTTTTTTAAAGCTATATGCTGAGTCTTTGATCAAAGAGGAAATCATGATAATTTTACTCAGGTAGATTTTGTTTCTCATGATTTCATCCATCCATTTGCTCTTCTTTATAATTCATACTAAATTTCAATCTCACTTCGAATAAGCTTCCTCTTCTACAATCAAGTCACTTGTTTGTCCCCTCCATCCCAACTCCTCCACTGTACACTCTGGAACTCCAGTTCTATTGTTAAAGTCCCCTATATTTCCCTGCATCTTCAAACTCTTCACTGAAGATTCATGACACCTCCTAGACATTAGGGAAAGTGCCTTTCCCTAGGACACTGCCTGACCCTGTAGCCCTCTCAAAGTAGACAATGAGATCTCCTTGTCTCATACACTGTAACAGTCCAGTGTTGGGGTTGGTATCTTCGTCACTCCCCAAAGTCATTTCTACACTATTCTTTCTCTACTCTTTTTATGGGCTCAAGCATAACAGCAACTGTGAGGATGGCACAGGACTGGGCACTGTTTCATTGTTGTAACATGGGGTTGCTATGAGTCGCAACAAACTTGACGGCACCTAACAACAACCCTTATTATAAAGATGCTTGCTCTTCTGGGGCTCAAATCAACAATACCACCTTCTGCCATCTGTTTCTCACTGCCTACCTCTCCAGTTAATGAGTGAAAGAGGGAAAAGTACTTTACACCCACAGATCCTTCTCATCACCTCAAAGCTTACCATTCAACAGCCTGACGTCTTCTACTCTTTGGCCTCATTATCACTAGGGAGGGTTCTCTTCCATTCTCATTATTTGTTTAACGTCTTTCCTGCTAGATTAAGTTCCATGAAGTTGAGGTGACAGCTGTCTTATTCACTGCTAAATCCCCAGCACATAGTACACTGTATATTCCTACTTAAATTGGGTTTATTTTTTCATTCCTACTAAATGCAAAAAATGGGTGCTACTAGCAGGCCTGTGTTCCATTATGAACCAACCAAATGTTGGTTCTCTTGGAACCAACAAAGACAGTAAGGTGTCTGGAAATTATATATTTAAAAAAAAAAAAAAAAAGACAAAGAATGCTTTACCCAGAGAAAGTATTTGTTGGATGATGAATAACTAAGGGAAATTGATACCCATTAAAACTTGGCCTAATCCTAGAACTGAAATGAGTGTGTTACTTTATGTACATAGATCCTAAGGATATACTAAATTAATAGAGAACTAAAGAGAACATTTGGGGGAATAAAACAGAATACTTATGAAGATCCAAAGCTAATAATCATCTAAATCAGTATAGTTCAACATTTTTAAACCTGTGCCTCTGTAATATTCTCACTATCTCCTTTACATCTCCACCAGCCAAGATGGTTTCGTAAGTCTCCTCACTGTCCCATAGTTACATGTCCTCCACTCAGAGACCATCTTCCCCTCAAAAATACTTTCAAATCACTGCTGCATTTCCACATCATTCACTTCCTCCTAAATATCTCGAATAAACTCCATTCCCTTTATTCTACTGAAATCTTTCTCAAAAATCAAAACTATCACATCAAATCCAACAGATTATCAACCATCATTTAC